CAACTAGTAGCTACTGCGCGAATTTTAATACACGTATTAAGGTATATTGTCGACATTGTGTAGTGAAACTGTCAAACCTTTAACTTGTCCTTGTTTATATTTTGTTTATAGTATATATTGTGAACTAAATGTTATTCTATTAGGCAAATAAGAACCATACAATAAATGTCTTAGTTCGTTTTGGTATTTTGAACGCTCGCTTTATCTTTACTTGCGCGAATTCTAGTAGCTATTGCGCGAATTTCAATACATGTATTTTAATATGGTCAAACCTTTAACTTGCCCTTGTGAACTAAATGTTATTGTATTAGACAAATGAGTACCATACAATAAATCAAAATAAACTGTAGAATCTTTACCTTGTACTTGCTTATATTCTACTATATTGTACAAATTCGCGTCGGGTCCAAATTTTGGGGTTTTCGAGTCGTTTAATATAACATATTGATTGCATAAATCCGCCGGGTCGGCCAAATTTTCAAAGCCAAATTTTAGAATCGTATAATACAAAAATAAAAACATTAATTCAACATGCAGAAAAGTCCAGAGTGCGACAAAAACTTAACACAACTACACCACGGATGCTTATGACTCTACAACGTATATTTATAGACGGTTGTTTATTAGTTAAAAAGTCAAACTGTCGAACCTTTAACTTGTCCTTTGTAAAATTCGCTGGGTCCAAACTTTGGGTTTTCGAGTCGTTACACGAAGAAAAACATATTAGTTCAACACGCAAGAAAGTTCAGAGTGCGACACAACGTAAAATCCATAGGAAACCGGCACAACTCTTTGAAAATTCAACGAAACTGTGTGAAATATATTCCGATCACTCAGCCAAAAGGCGCCATTTTGAAACTGGACTGAATATGTCACCATTGGAGTTCGGAATTGTGCGCGTGCGTATAAGTCCAAATAAGTCTATGCACCACAAGCATGGCATGAGCCGGCTATTACGTACATAAATACAAACTTCTTACTATTGTACATGAATCGTGGAGTCGAAGAATCGATGGCATTTTGGATTAATCGTTGCACCCTGAGCCTGCGATGCGCGAACGCAAACTCGATTTCTCGACGACGACGAAAAACAGAAGAAAACAGAAAACTAGGGATTTAAGACACTTGACCCTTCAGGTCAGTGTAAATAGCAAGTGTCATGCAAGTGTCAAGTGTCATGCAAGCCATATGTGCAAGCAAAGACCAGGGGTTAAAGGGCAATCAGAGGTGACAGATATTAAACATGTGCGTCTCATTGACATACAGGAAATTAAGATCAGATTTCATAGTCTGTTTAATGCTAGGCGCATTTACCACATTATATAGACTATATACACAGATTTATCACACTAAGAAACCAAAACTTTATAAAAATATAAAACTGACAGTGACCAAAGTCCAAAACAAATGTAAGCGTAAAATTAGACTTGAAAAAGCTTTAGAAATTCGATAAAATTCGAAGACTCGAGCGAGTTTAAAATTTGTGTTCTGCGCATAGAAAGCGCGCACGACCACAATTCCATGCGCCAAATAAAATTTAGTTCAAAACCCCCTCTCTGCACATATTAGGCTGCTGCTACGCTCGCTCGCTTCAGGCTCGCTCGCTACGCAGTAACTAGACAGCTACCGAATATAAGGTATTCTGTAGTCTTATTGGCTCTCTACTAGCCGGATATTTCACAAACAATTATTCGCCGAAGCCGAGGTGATTATCGGGGAATATTCACCGAGACGAAGTCGAGGTGAATATTCCTCGATAATCACTGAGCCTGAGGCGAATAATTGTTTTAGTATTTTTACATAAGTCTTTTGTGTTTTGTGTTTTGTAAAACTGACTTTATTTTAATTTCTCTTATTTCTTTATCAGTAACGTCCACAAAACGGCTAGCCGCCACTTTCAAAATTTCGCTTTTGTTTTGTTCACCTGCGGGTAAATATAACAGATTAATACGTCAAATTTGACCAATCAACTTGAAGGATTTGTTGTATTTACTTGTGCAAAAATACTAATAGCTCATATCCTGTGAGAGGAGAAAACAAAATGGCGGCGCAAGAATTGACGGCGGTTTAGCGAACGAGAAAACAGCAAGTTATTCGATGTTTAAAACCTTAACGGCAATAAAAACACAATAAAAAAACTCCCAGCAACTCTTTACAGGTTAGAAAATATGTTTTTTCATTGAAACTGATTTAATAATATATTTTTGAAAATTGTAATGCCGAAAGAGCGAAGATAATAACATGAACAGATATCAGACTATAATTTTTTTGACAAAACTGATTTAAAAGCAAAAGAAGTGAAGTGAACAAGCACTTAAAATATATATATATATATATATATATATATATATATATATATATATATATATATATATATATATATATATATATATATATATATATATATATATATATATAATGTTTTAGCAATGTTCGAAGTACTGATTTAAAAAAAGAGCAGCAGTGTCAGTCTATGCAGTAGACTAGTTGTTTATACAATAAAAAACTCGCTTTCGTCGTATATGACTGATGACCAACTCGGTGCAAGGGAGCACATCAGTATTCTGCACCTGTATATACATATATGGCTGTAAAATCTGTGAATAGGTAGTCTTTGTCTTCTTTGGTTTGCTAATTTGCATATAAACACTAAAACACTGTTTTTAAATACGTAAATACCATAAGCAAGCCATATAAACTTTCGTAATATTTTCGTATAAATATTGTCGCCCTTCGACGCGCCTTCTTTGCAGGCTATTTTCACATTGTCGTCCGCTGTACAGATTGTATCGCATGTAACTGTTTTGTAAATACGCGCGAAACTTAAATATAGAGGGGAGTGAAATAAATACATAATAGAGGGGAGTGAAACTGTAGGCACGTGATCAATATTAACCAATAGCATTTGGGGATTCGAGAACCGCTTTCTCCAAGGTTTGTAGCAAAACTAAACGCTCACAATCAGTTTAGAGTCGACTGTAAAAGCATACCAAAAACTGATTTGTTCACAATTCGTAAACGTTTCAACTCTGATTCCTTTTTAAATGTATTATATCATGCTTCTACTTCGAGAATATTGTCCATAGCATGTTCGAGAGTGGTAATAATGTAAATTTTGTCATTATTTATATTAATGGTGTTAGTTCTGAATTGTGATTTTTCTGTATAACGTATATTAGTTATATTAAACATAAATATTAACGTTGTGCATCGTATGCTGGTTTTACTTGGATAATTTCACATTAGAATATATAACAAAATCATGACGAAATGTCGAAATTGACCCCATTGTTTAGTATATTAATGTACTGAAACATGTTGATTAAAAAAAGACAAATACATGGCATACTACGATCAACCACAGTTTGGATTAACTATGGATCAACTCACGTTAAAAACATGTGAACTGAAGCCAAGATTGCATAATTCCATAATTATATCTAGCAGTGGCCTGTGCCTAGCAACGGTTACTGTGCCTAGCAATTTGCTACAGCGTCCGTCGAAAGATTTAACCGGATGTGTCCACAGTTTCACTCCCCTCTATTATTTATTGTTAGTTTCGCGCGTATTTACAAAACCGTTACATGCGATACAATCTCTACAGCGGACGACCATGTGAAAATAGCTTGCAAAGAAGGCGCGTCGAAGGGCGACAATATTTATACGAAAATATTACGAAAGTTTACATGGCTTGTTTATGGTATTTACGTATTTAAAAACAGTGTTTTAGTGTTTAACCAATTAAAGAAGACAAAGACTGCCTATTCATAGATTTTACAGCCATATACATGCAGGTACGCAAGTCTCGAAAAGAATACTGCTGTGCTCGCTTGCTAGGTGCTGCACACCTTGTCGGCTATCAGCTTGTATTATATACACAAGGTCTGGATGTGAGGTATTCTGCAATCTGATTGGTTCTCTACTACCAGGATATTAGCTCGTATCCTGCTAGCAGAGAAAAACAAAATGGCGGCTCCAACTGAATTTCCGACGTTTTGCGAACGAGAAAACGGCAAGTTGTTCGCTTTTGATGGGCCTTACAGGATTAAAAATACAATTAAGCAATTCTCACAAATTGATTACAGGTTAGCGAATTAATTTTTAAAATTTAAAGAGGTTAAAAATATCTATATATTTTTGAAAAAATAATCGAGCAAAAATAAAAACATAAAAGAGCAAAGATAAAAACATAAACAAAAATCAAAATAGAAAAATATTGAAAATATCCGAAAAGCAAAGTCTGTGAATTCAGTCCTTGTGTTAACAGGGACGCCCCGAAACTGGGGGGGCGAAGCCTCCCCCATTGCACTTTACCAGGAGGGGCAAGGGTGGCAAAGGTGCCCTTTCAATTTAAAGGATTGCCTTAGCGAAATATATAGTGAATTGTCAGAAATGTTAGTGCAATTCTTTTACGAATTTGCTTCAGAAAACGCAAGAAATGCAGTCGTCGAGCTTTAAGAATAGCACAATTGCCTGGCGGAGAACCCCCTCACACCCCTACCATCCAATAAATAGAAAACATGATTAGGCGAAGTTCAACTCTCGATGTTTTGCAAACATCTCTTAGTATATATCAATTCAAAAGTGCCCTTTCATGAAAATTTCCCTTCCTGGCCATCACATCGTTCAGGCGTCCCTGCTTGTGTATATAATAAAACAGTTATTTACAACTCACTCTCGTCGAATATGAGCGATAGCCGAATCGGCGCTACGCGCCTCATCGGCTATCAGCTCATATTCGATTCGAGTTATGGAATAACCGTTAAACATACGACTTGATCGAGGTCACAGAATAACTGCAAAATGTCGCATAGACGAAAACGAGGCTCTATAGTCAAAGCGACGTTCTTTCCGGAAGGATGTATTAATAAGCTGGTAATAGCAACTGAAATTATGTAAATACACGGCTAATAAAATAATCAGTAAAGTAAAATGGTGAAATTCATGAAATTAAAGTCCGGGTATACAATTTTTAACTCATTTCACTGACTCTTTTTTAGGCCAAATTATAGAACGTGATGATGATCCTTGCAGTAAAGATGTCATTGCCTACTATAAGTTTGACAGATCATTTCGTGATGTGTGCTTTGGAAACAATGCCGTAAAAACCGGAGATAACCCAATACTGTTTTCATTACCTGGCATACGCAATGGCGCAGCGTCCTTCGCAGGTTATTTGTCAAAACTCCGTATTCCTAATCTAAATGCTTACAAGTGGGGTTCGAAATTATCACTTAGTCTTTGGTTTAAAAGTAATTCAGGAAGTACAGCGGGTATAATCAACAATGGCGCAGTATACACGGATGTAGTCCGTAACAGAACCAAGGTCGTAGGTAGCTGGGAAATACGACTCACAAGTGGCGGAAGCAATAAAAATCGCATTGGTGCAGCCATTGTAACATCTCATTCAGCGAAGGCTTGGGAAAACGTAACTACCGCATTTTCCAATCACTGGCACCATCTTGTTATGGTATACAATGGCAAGAAAATTGAATTTTACCATAACAGCCACCTTAAGTTCAGCGAAAGTTTGCAGGGCGAAATCGTGACGAAAAATTCAGATGTTATCATTGGTCTAACCAAATATGGATATTACGCCCAAGACGGTTATTTTTCCGGGTACATGGATGAAGTAAAGTTGTTCAAAAAAGCATTGAATGCTCACGAGGTTCAACAACTGTATCGGCTTAAAAATGTTTAATTAAAAAAAACGTCGATAAAAGGTTTGAAAATTGTTGATGAAACATAGAAATATGGTTTTGATTTCTAACTGAAATGTAATTATAAGTAATGATTAACTTTAATTGACCGAAATATTATCTTAAAACAAATTATGCTGGAATCATGATTCATATCGAATCAATCTATAAAAATACGAATTATGTTTCCAATTGTAAAATTAAGATTTAAAACTTTTTGATTGTGCATATTCATTTTTTTTCGTCGAATTTTATGTTCCTGCAGGGTATTAATAATTAGCCTTAAAGTGCATATGACATGAAATTTCTTATTTTCTTAAATGAAAGAACTCTTTAAGCTGTAGTGTAACTTATTTTTCAGTTTCTTGTTTTTGATGGTTTGTTCCCGAGATATTTCAATTTGTTTGATATGGAAATGAGTGTGAATATGTCCGCTAATTTATGACGTCGCGTTGGTTGCAAGCTCAACTTACACTGCAGGTTATAGATCTATTAACTCTAAAAACTGTAGATATCTGTTCACGTTTTTCTACAGTGTTTCATCACTTTTACAAGTGAGTGAAGTTTGAAATTATCATCTTGGATGAAAGCAGTGATATTCAACCGTTTCGAACAGCTTGCAACCAACATGACGTCATAAATTAGCGGACATATTCACACTCATTTACATATCAAACAAATTGAAATATCTCGGGAACAAACCATAAAAACAAGAAACTGAAAAATAAGTTACACTACAGTTTAAAGAGTTCTTTCATTTAAGAAAATAATAAATTTCATATCAAATGCACTTTAAGGCAATTTTACATTTCAACCGTATCGTAACGTACTGTAGCATTTTCGTTTGTGTCGAAGTCATTAGTTCCACTCTATAGTGGTCAGGAAACGCGCTACGTTTCGGTACGATAGGATTGAAGTGGAAAACTGGCTTTAGAACCATCGAAATGCGCTACCAACATAGATTACATGGCGAAGTAAATGCTTGGTATAAGGTTATCATTCTCAAATGACAACCTATTTCCGGTTTATTGATTATGATCACATGGCCAGACGGCTCATCTAGAAGATGCAGCATTTTAATTGGTTCGCAAGCGGTTAGCATCCTCAGGACGCTGTAAAACACGGGAGGTGAAACGGATATAGCTCCTCTGATCTTTGTGTGATGGGCGTACCCCCCTTATACATTAATTTATGATGTAAATAAAAATGAAATTGGAAAGTTTATGCAAAAAAGAGCTGAAAAAAACTAAATGGTTGAAGACATTCTTTGATTATTTTCTGCATATCTCATGAAGGAAAAAGGGCTTTTAAAGATTCATCATAAGTGGAATCAAAATTTCAAAAGGAATCGAGCTGATCGACTGTGGGCATATTCCAAACACGAAAAACTTGATATGAAATGGGATATTTTACTTCATAATGCGAAGGCACGACAAACATTCCCGCAGTACGAATATTCTGACATTGCTTGGCTTAACTATTTTTTAATAATCATATAGCCCGAAATTGACCATGCATGCATTTAAAACTAGAATTTGAAAAAAACAACTACAATTTAAAAACTGAAATATACAATCGTTTTTGTGTTAATCAGCCGGCCTGCTTGGAATCCATTTAAAGTTCATTGTAAAGTGTTTTTCAATTTATTTGATTTCTATTATTGGTCTCCCCACCGCAATTTTCCCTTTCGTAAACGGTCTTTGCCATCCGATACGGTCTTTGCTATCCCTGCTCGAGTTGCGTCTCGGGAGCCCACTAGATCTCGCCAAGCGCGCGTTTGCATCATTGCACGTGTAAATTATATTTTTGAATGAAAAATATAAATGGCGTCAAGCATAAAGGAGACTTTGATGGTTTACTAGAGAACGCGTTTAAAGAAAGTTGATCGCCGTTTCCATTATGAGAAACAGACACAAAAAGAAAAGCAGAAATTTGAAAGTGCTGTTTCGGAAAAGCTTCCCGAGGATTACCTTTGCAAAGGCACACCATGGTGGATTGTGCCTTAATTGGTTAATAATTGTTAAATTTATTTATAATGTATGCTTGCAAAATACAAAGTTTATATCACTAGGTGTCAATAACAGTTATCAAAGTTTTCTAATCTGATGAATAGTTATATCCTACAGTAAATAAGTAAACCCACTCTGTATACATAGGTTGGCAGTGATATTTGTCAAAAATGCAAAATTATAATGTTTATTTCACCTATTTATTCAAATATTAATACAATTTATATAGTGTGACGCATTATGCTTGGTTTAATAAAATCCGAGTCTCAGCCGTTAAAGTTTGTTTGGTAAGAGGTTTTCCAGAAACATGAACAAAGAGTGGACCACCCGTTGTTTTTCTAACCAAGCGGTACTTCTTCATTGCCAAAACAGGACATAGGGGTGAGTTGGACGCGCCAACTGTGATTGTTTGACCCAAACGGAATGGGTCTGTTTTGGAGACTTTGATTTCCACTGTCATGAATTCGGGGTTGCCTTGACCCACTCCTGGAGCAAAATAAAGGTTTTCAAGCATGAGATGGACCTCGGGGTTGAATTTAGTGTTACATGTCAGTTCGCCTAGACGAAGAAATCCAAAAAAGGCCAAAGTCATGGCCGCCCAAATCATGAGGGACTCGTAATTTTGTGTTGATGGAATGGCAAGCATTAAGTGAAACAATTGCAAGTGATGAATTGTTATTGGTAAACGCACACGGATTGGTCTCCATGGGAACGCTTTATGGCACGCAAGACCAGCTGCAGTTGTTGCATTTTTGGTAAATTTAGTTGAAGACCTCGGCGCATGTGCAAATGGCGAACAGCTGCAAAATAGGTTTTGATTGAGGCATATTTTATAGATTTGGCGAGAAAAGCCACAAATTCTGTCAAAATGGCTTCTGTTGCTGGTAGGCACTGTTCAAGTGATTGCTGTTTAAACATAGTTACGAAATCAATATAGCGTTTTTCACCAGCACTATAAGTTTGTTTTGCGGATGAAGCAATGGATAAATTGATGTAATGCTGAATGTCCCCTCTCAGATTATCAACAGTTGGCTGGGAATAGGGCATGGACTGGGATCTGCATTGTGGTGCCAGTTTTCTGAATCTCTGCAATCTTTTGCATGAATGTATAGATTAAATTTCAATGTGAGTAGGGTAAGATGGCGTAATAAATCCATCACACGGGGAACCTTTGAACGCTTAGAATTAATTATGTTAACAACCGACTCATTATCGCAATTAAAAATTAATCTTTTGTTGCAGAGAAGGCTTCCCCAAAGCTGACATGCAATTACAATAGCAAATAACTCTTGCCATGCAATACTAATGCCCGGTTTATCTAGCTGGTGGGAAGGTTCCCAAGTGCCCTGGAACCATTTAGTACCAAACATCCCCCCATAACCTAATGTTCTTGATGCATCAGTAAATAGCTGCAAACTGTCTGCATCTTGCCATAACGTTGAGAGGAAAAAACTTTCCCCGTTCCAATTAGTAATAAATTGTTTCCACATAACTAAATCCTTAAAAAATCCCAAATTTAGTTAAATATGGTGGTGGGATTCCTTGACATTTCTGGTTAAGTCAATCATCCGCTGCAAGAATGGCCGTCCAGGAGGAACGACTTTGCATGCAAAATTTAGAGTTCCAATTAAGGATTGCAGCTCTTTCAAAGTACAAGATTTTTTAGCTTCAAACTCGGCAAAAATTGTCCTAATGCGATGGATCTTATCTGCAGGCAGCCGGGCTTCCATTTTCACTGTATCCAAAATAATGCCCATAAATTCAAGGACTTGTAAGGGGCCCTGAGTTTTCCCTGGAGCGATAGGAATCTTGAGGTCATGAAAAGTAAGAAGCATTTTAGATAAGCTCTGTAAACATGTACTATCATGTGGTATGGAAGGTGCTTTTGGTTCCATGATTAAAAAGTCATCAAGGATATGCATGCAAAAGAAATCTTGCAGTTATTACGTAAAATCCATTCAACAGCATCGGACAACTGATTAAAAATAAATGGGGCACTCCTAAGGCCAAAGGGGAGAACCTTGTCAAAATAGTACTTACCATCCCAAAACATACCTAATAGCTCATAGTCATCGGGGTGGACCGGAATAAGCCGAAAGGCTGACTCAACATCAGTTTTGGCAAGGAAACAACCTGGCCCAAAACGTTTAATGCCCTCAATGGCATCATCAATGGTAACATACTGTAGACTAAAATCATCCTTGCAAATTGCGCTGTTTATGCTGGTCATGCCCGACTTGGGAAACGAGAGGTGGAAAATCAAGCGAAATTTTTTAGAATTCTTTTTGGGAACAATGCCAGTTGGTGAAACTTGAAGATTACTGAATGGGGGACTGTCAAATGGACCTGCCACCCGGCCAAGAGAGACCAAATTTGCCGAGACAATACTAGGGTTTGCAAGCGCTGTAGGTAAATTTTTTGGAAACCGTGGGATACGCTGTCCCTGAAAACCAATTCTTGCCCCATACCATAAATTATTACATTTTTGTGACGTAAAATGTGTATCTGGGTGACCAGTGAGTGCTACTTCTAAATTATCTACAGATATAGATGTCGGTAGCGACAAAATTATCTTACTGATGCTTTGATTTGCTGGATTTGTGACTACTCGTTGAGGCGTGGTTGCTATTGCTTGAGGATCTTTCACTGCATTTATGTCCTGGGTGAGGACCTGCGCATCGGTTGCAGACATGGTTGTAGCGACACGGGTTGTAGATGCATGTCCCATTTCGGTTGAATTCGCGGCAAATGGCTGTACCCCGTTTTGCGCCCCCTGAGGAATTGATATTTTGGGGTCCATTGGAAAAAAGGGGGTATTCTCGTTTTAGATTCTCAGGTGATGTAGTGGAAATCAATAACCACAACTGTTGGTCAATCTCAGACAACTTTAGCAATGGGTTTAAGGCAGCTTTCCTGCGAAATTTGTGGTCGTAGACGCACCACCCAAGCCCTCGGTGTGTTTGTGCTGCGTGACGAGTCAGTGACAGATACTGGAGTAAATCCAGAGTCCGACTTGACTTCCGATACTTTCGACACAGAATTGACATTCATGGTAATCAAACGCAAATTAGTGGATGTCTCACTTGTCTCGCAGCCGAGAACCTCTATTTAAATAAAAACCCTTTAAATTATTTTCAAAAACTCATTAATAATTCAGGAGCAAAACACAAAGAAAAATCATAAGCGTGTCGTGGTTTTATATGTGATAAAAATCACGTTAATTTACATAAACTTTAGCTTTGATTTTCTCGGTTTAGAAAAAGTTTATTTTAAAAATTACTTCACCAATGAACTCGTATAAGATGAGTCGTTTTTGAAGCTATTTAAAGCACTTGTAGTCATGTTTTATCACATATAAAACACTCCGCTACGCGTCGTGTTTTATATGTGATAAAACACTCCTACGCGTGCTTTAAATAGTACTTCAAATCTGGAACTTTTTCGCCATATTAGGTTAACAAACTGTGTCCGAAGTAGACAATGCTTGCATAGCTCTATGGCAATAGAAAAGTTATTTTTATTTGCTTAAATGTTAAGAAAATATTTTATGCCCATGAGATACCTGCTGATACCCATTGAGGTGTGAAATTTATCTAAAAATATTTGTGCAATGTAGGATAGATGAACTACCATATTTCCTTGAGTAAGCGCCCGGGGCACTTATTTATTTATCGGAGTTACAAGAGGGGCGTTTATTCAAGGGGACGTTTATTTCAAAAATCGAAAAACGAGGAGAAGGCTAAAAAGAATACAGTAAATTTTCAGTTGGAATATGCAAATCTATTGACCATACTTAGGACATGACCCGATCGATTGAACTTTCCTCCGTGCTAATTCACTTTCTCAAAAACAACAGCGTATACTTCTGGAAAGAGATACCTAGAAGTCGAATTGGCATTGTATATGTGGCGTTGAAGAAAAATAAGAGAACAGCGTTATTTCTGTCTGAACAGCATAAAGAGAAAAAAACCCTGATATTATGGTTAACTATAAACAACGAGGATGATGAATAAAATATTATGACACATTGAGGTTTATTTCTAAGGGGAGGTACTAATTCAAGGAAATACGGTAAGTGTGCCACAGATCCACCAAAAATGCTTTGAAAAATTATCAAATTATTGTTTTCATAAAATCAATATAATTATTTTATATCTATCTAAATATTATAAGCTTTCCAATTGCTTTCTAACTTTGAAAACTTACATTGTATTTAAAACAATATAAATTTCTATGTAAAAAAATAATTATATATAAATTTGTAAGAGTATATCCAACTGTTATTTTTCGAAGATTGTTTGAAAAACTGACACATTAAAATCACAATAATGTACCTAAAGCTTTATGCCAAAAAAGATATATCTGACCATAACTGTATGATCGTTAACTAACAGAAAACAATTGTAACGTTTATAATTTCATTTCCTTACTAGACATTACGATCAAAACATTCCATTACTACCCTCAGATCTGATATACCCGGTTCGGCAATGATTTCTGACGTGACAGCAGCGAGCAGGCCACTCTTCTCACCAGTCAAAATTGATTTCCACGTAACAGAGTTAATTGTTACTTTAAGGTCTTCCTTAGCATCTCTATAAATCCCACTCACATCCATTACACCGTTACGAATATGAAACTTGACTCTTTGTTTTGTGTCCGAGAATTCAAACAAGACTATCTTGTCCAAGTACGAGCATTCTTCTGTCTTAAATTTCAAAGCCATTAAGTAAAACAACTCAGTAATTGTTGATTGTTCAACAGCAGCTTTAAACTTATCTTTGTTCGGTGTAATTTTTAGAGTTCCTAAAGTTACATAGGCCGCCGTTTTGTAATAGTTATAACCATTGAAACTTGTTTGGAGCTCAGCCATGTCCAAAAGAGCTTTGGCTTTTAATTCTTTTGCCTTGGTATTCTCTGGTTCAGTGTTTACTACTGAGGATGATAAATAAAGAGACCACTTCGGATCATCGTCATTTAAGGCCTTTTCAGACGCTTTAAGAACGTTTTCAGTTCCACCAACTAAGGAAACCAATCTCTTCGATCTTTCGATTGGTGTTAGAGGATCAAGCTCGCTGATGTCTCCAGAAAACCATCCCATGTAGCCCGAATATAATCCCTTCGATGACCAGCGAACCGTTCCATACAGTTCTTTAAGGTAAGGATTCTTGCGAAGAGTTTCCGGCAGTGAGATGGCTTCTGCAATTTTATCTGGATGCATTCCTTGATTTATAAACCGGACGGTCTGGTCATGCACTAACTGCACAGCATCGCGATATTCCGTGGTTATTGTATATACAATATCTTCTCCAATCAATGGCTTGTGGTGACTCATTATAAAGTATTTTGGTCGCAATGCTCTCATTTTATCAAGTGATTCATACCATTGCTTTAAGCTACGAAAAGTAGTACCTCTGATTGCGTAGAGATTCGGAAAAGCCTTGTATAGGTTATCCGTACCAAGCAGGGCTTGCTTTTCAGGCCAGTAAACGCAAATCGTATCATCAGTTTCTCCTGGAACGTGCATCAGCGCTATATCTATACCAGCCAATTTTATTGTCTGCTTTTCTTTGTACAGAAATTTGTTAGGAGAAACGAAAGTTGGGGCAATATTATCTAATTTTAATTTGTGTCCAATACCAGAAGAAATTTGTTGTGTCTTTAGTAAGGCTCCAAATTGATGCATTGCTCTTATGTATCCCGCTTTGCCTGTTACTCGCATGAAGTGAAAGAAGTTAAGGGGTAGAGTATGATGCGCCCAGACCTCAACACTTGCACGATCAGGGTGGTTCTCTAAGAATGCTTCAGTGCCTAAAACGTGATCTGCATGATTATGCGTATAAATGATACCTTTCACTGGCTTTTCGGTTATTTTACGAAATTCTTTTGCAATTTGTCTAGCAGCTACCAAAGATTCTGTTGTATCAATAATCACAACTCCTGTGGGACCAATCAACATAATTGAGTTCCCAAGGGCATAACCAACTGCAACGTACATTTCATCTGTTACTTTAATTATTTCAGGTTCAGCTGTCAAATTCTTCTGATGATCAACCTTAATGGAAGGATTTCTTTTCAATCGGTAATTTTCAACAGTTTGTTGCAAGTGCCATTGCTTGTAATACTGATATCCATTATACAATAAGATCGCTAGTAATACTGGCGTTGATATTTTATGCAACATGCTTGTGGTGATTCTGAAACTAGAAAAGAAATTTGCATGTAAGAAATAATTTTTTTGCGGAACGTAGCTTTAGCGAAGTAGAGTTCTTTTGCTATAAGATCAGATAAAGTTAAGTTTTTGTTTACCCACAACACGCATTACGTAATCTTTACGTAATCTTTTCTCGCAGGTAACGGTAGCTAGCATTAATGTTATTAACTTTTAGTAACTTAGTAACTTCAGTAATTCTGGGTAATTTCAAAGTTTATATCACGGTTTGTTTATATCACGTGATTGATTTCCGAGTCTCCGATTGGTTCACCGTAAAGTTTCCGCGTGAACAACGGTCGAAAAACGCCATCTTGATGAGCCGATTGCAGTGGAGGGTGGAGACTCATTTTTTAAAAAGTTTGATGGATATTCGCTCGGAAAGATACATTTATATTATGAACGAATGTGGAAGGCTAAGGAGCTTTTCCGCCCAATATCGTTGCTCAGTTTTTTGTTTTTTTTATATTGTAGATAATGACAGCTGGCCAAAGTAATGAGTCGTTTTCAATGCTCAGCCAGCAGGTAAGAAAACAAAGTTAAACTGTAGACGGTGGCGTTAAAAATAAGCAGATAGGTACAGTGGCGTAATGAAAGAACAGGGGGCCCGTGGGCATATTTGGTGTGGGGGCCCCGTTTGTCATTGTTTGACTGAGATATTATATTTATATTGAATTTTTATAGAATGTTCTGGAAAATTCCATGTCTATAACAATAACAGTCTCCAACACATGTAACAACTAATAAGAATAACTTTTGTTTTATTTGAGGTGAAATAAAAAAATCAGCTACCGTTGTCGATGGAGGTTTAATTATTTAGCATTATTAATTTTGCATTTTCCCATTGATTCTTAACCTGCATTTTTTACATTTTCTAATTTTCTGGGCGATAGGCCGTGGGTGATGGGGCCCCTAACTGTAGGGGGGCCTTAGTTTTGGAACTAACCCTACCCAATGAGCGTCACGCCACTGGATAGGTAGTGAGATGTCCTTCTTTAAAAATAACTTGCTAGGGAAAAATCTTATTGTGTTCTGTTATGGAATTGGCCAAAGGAGTTTTTATGATACTCATTCAAATTTACTGACTGATCATGACTGATTTATGGATAATGACCAGCCACACTGTCAACAAACAGCACAGCAGTTTGCAATGGTATGACTCAAATAAATACTAAATGCCCGGCACTCCATGTAATAATTCAGCCTAAGCCGGATAAGTTAAAGTTAATTACCGAGTGGTGGGTGCGTACCACGAATCATATGGAACGTGCCCTATGATTCGGAATTCCATCATGCCAGGGGCAAGTGAAAGTGAGATAAGTGTCTAATTTTCAATCTATGATGCGCTGAGTCTCCGTACATTTTCAACTGCAAATGTAGTCAAAAATGCCGCTCCTGGTCAGCTGACTGATGGGCTTTTAAAGACATCATTTTTTATCCGATATTGTAAACACTTCTATGGTAGTTTCTTTTTATGGCTTTTAAGATGGGTGGTCAAAATCAAGATTAAATTGTAGTAGTGTTCTTGATTTTAGTTGTTGACATGCTCTTCCATTTTCTTTTTTAGTCACTAAACAATGCTTCATTTGAAATGAAATGATTTAATTTATTTCACTCGTAAAAGCGTGACACTGGGCTTTGCAATATGTATATATGTAACTGGAAAAGGTATGGATAATTTATAGCATCATCTGTGATGCTGAATTTATTTTTTTTGAAGTACTGCAAATAATTTTTCAGTTTGTTTTCTCTCGGCAATAATTCTAATTAATTTTTCCCCGCAATTTTCACGGGTCACCAAGCTAAAAAAAAACGAGGTTGGACAGTCCTTTGAGATATAAGGACCCAAGATTTCGCTTGCGAACAAGGCGTTCCGCAACCCTTTTTCAGATTGATAAATTGACATTTATTGTTAATTACGGTACTAAAATGAGAACCATTGTTGAAATAATTTCTGAAATCCGTTCAACTAAACCTTTTCTGGCAGAAGTATACCGTACTTTTTTGCTGCACTTTAGTATGATACAGTGCACTTTAATCTTTGGGTAACAATGTGGTCGGTTACTTTGGACGCAATTCACGAATAGAAACTCTAATCTAAAGCTAACTGTGTTGGGCTAAGCACGAAATCTTTCGTAAATATCTGACTTTTTAGCGGCTTGTTAGGCACAACGTGAACACTGCACTTTCAAATTAAAAATTCAATAGAACTTTATGCACAGTATAAGTATTTTCTGTTTTCTGCCAATGAAGATTTATTTAAAGACATTTTGAATTAATACGATCCTTCGCCCCAAAAACAGGAAAAAAAAACAACAATAAGAACTTTCGTGAATTCCCTTAAAGCTAAGAAAATTACGAAGGATGAATTTGAAAAAAGATTTAACATCTCTTTTCATTTTCCTCTCATTTGATTTCAAAAGCAAACTTATTATTCCTTATTACAGTGATTCCCCAATTCTAGTATGCGATTTCTATTCCAAAAAAAATCAATTTCTTACGGTCCGAGTAGCGTAGATATGTTCCCGAGAGATATATATTTCTACTTCTCACTTTGTATATAAACGCCTACTAACTCGACATCATTTGCCGAAGTAAGGTTTACAAAGACGTAAATTTGGCCACATACGGTCGACTTTCCTCACGGTCCCACGTCTGCGCACATTCGAGGTGGACAATACTTTGCTTTTAGCAGCATTTAAAGGCTCAACGGCTTCCTTGAACCTGTTCCCGAACGCCTTGAAACATAACATGCCGGAAAGGCATAAAATTCCTATTAGCAAGCAAATATTATATTTAATCCCAAACAGCAGCGCAAAAATCTGTAACAAGAGTGCAAAAATCTGTAACAAGAGTGCAAAAATCTGTAACAAACTGATCTGATGGGTGGAAGAACATTGTGGTGATAAAATCAACCTATCACTTTAAAGCAGTTTAGTTTAAAAAGTAAACGGTCACAGATTGCTTAAAAAAAACGGACATGGCGCCGCGCTACACAAAGTAAAAGTTGCCTTCGCATGGAAAATTTAGCTTTTATCTTTATTGTTAATTGGAAAAGCATTTACCTTAAACAAGACTGACAAAAATTACATAGTTGAGTGGAATTTCAAGCTGTTAGCGTTGTATAATGTGACATAACGAAGTCAGGAAAACTTTGCCAGTGGAATGTTCGCTATAAACGCGTAAGTTAATAAAACTACATTTGTCTCGAACATTTTTAAGTGTGAAGTTTCTTCGAAACTTCGCAGTGTTGTGATGACTGGGGGGGGGGGAATCAAACGAGACAGTCAGTCAGTCATTCAGTCATACAGTAAACTTTCCGGGAGGTGTATGCGGTATATGTTCGTAGTGATCGTACATTTAATTCGCACTTAGTCTGTGCTTTGAAGGTTATTTAGGCAATTTCAGTTGTCTTATTTAAATATTCTTTAGGCCTTTTGCTAAGTTTTGCCAAGTTTACAAAAAATTCGAGGAATTGTTGTCGTTATTGTAAATTTTATAACATGCGCTTCTCATGTTGTGTAAAGGATCTTAGCCCGGAACACCCGATTTTTCTTTAGCAGCGCAAATACGCATGCGCTATCAAGCCATAGATCACGATGGCGTGACGATGCTAGGAAGGAGCGAGACAGTGTTGTTTTGAAATGTATAAACATTTCAGATGTGAATATTGAGTAAATATTCGAGAATCTACGCAATATATAAATTGATGTTATGCATCAATTAAGTGCCGATATTATTTAGACGGTATATTCATTTTACAGAGCTAGGAAGGAGCTAGGACAGTGCTTTTTTTCAAGTGTATATATTATATATTATATTAAACATTTCAGACGTAAATATACTTAAATATTGAGTCGAAAATATTTTCTTTTTTTTTAATTTTTTTTTCGCCCAATTACATAACAATAAGAAGTAGAATTAAATATTTACAAAATTAGGGCTAGGAACCTTCTAGAAACCAAAAGGCTTTTGTTTAAGGTCCCTAGGTAACAATTATATAACTAGCTATATTCATAATCTAACATGCAGTTCGAATGTTGTTTTTTAAAGTCAGGAAATATATTATAATTAATGTGCAATACATTACTGTAAAATAGTAAGCTGGAGTTGTATTACATTTGAAAGAGAAAAATAGATTTTTAACAAGTAATGAAGAACGGGATATATATATTTATATATATTTACATTTACAAACATTTTACTGGTGAAGTGGAAATGTTAACTTGAAGTAATTAAATGCAGAAAGTACTTTTTTATAGTTTTTTTGAAAGTACCATAGAATTGGATTTTCTTATATTGTGTGGGAAGATTATTCCAAACATCAGTTCCCTTATTGGCAAGAGTAAGTTTTGTGTAATTTGTTTTGTAACATTTTTTGTGCAAAGATGATGAATTTCTATTGTTGTGGTTATGGATTTCTTTATTAGTCAAGAAATAATTTGCGACGATTTCTGGCAAATTTTGCAGATGGAAATATCTGAACATAAATAGACTTGCTAAATAATCATTTACTTTGTAGATATTCAAAATCTTTGAGATTCTAGGCATTCAATTGAGTGCCGATATTATTTTCACGGTATACCCATTATACAGAGGTAGGAAAGAGCGAGAGAGTGTTGTTTTCAAATATATAAACATTTCAGACATGAATATTGAGAAAATCTTTCAGACTCTATGCAATATATAAATTGATGACGTTATGCATTACCGGCGCCCAATTATAAAGTGCCAGAAGATATATTGTTTTAGGCCGTGTATTCATTATACATTGGCCACATTGGCTGCATAAGGTGCTACACCACAGAATAGATGGCTACACTCAGTACAAAGAGCCAGAAATTGCATCCGACAAAGCGTAAACAACTATTAAACAGAAGCAGGTGTTTGTATGGCGTTTACGAAGAAAATAACTTGTGAGTTGTGATCGAGACTAAAAGAAATCAGTTGAGTGTGCAAAGCTCTTTATTTAAACAAGAAAGACGAGGAGTTATAGCCAACTTGTTATCGCTAATCGCTTGGCTTGCCAACAAGCTTTATGCAATAGAAGAAAAAAGCAAGGAGGTAGCCAACGTGTGCCATCACGGACTTACTTTAGAGAGTTTAAGATCTACGACGCGGCCGGCTCAACGACGCGGTCTGAATTTCAGCTAATAAATATCATTACTGTAATTAATGTTTGACGATTTTCAAATAACATTACAAACTGCTAAGATTGACTAAAGCGATGCAATGTTTGCTGTAATTTCGACTTTAGGCTAAGTATCACCTTTTGGGTCGCAATAAGCTTCGCGTTGCTTGAAAGACGTGATAATGCTTAGTTTAACGTTCTGCTGAGCATGACAAAGCCGTTGAGAATACCCCTGGGACAACAAATTTATTCACAGTTTTTTTCTTGCATGACAGATTTCTTTCTTTCGCAAGAGCGTCGTTGAGCAGGCCGCGTCGTAGGTCTTAAACTCTCTAGTTTTGTTTACTGTCTAGCACAACGTCAACAGTGCAAACTCGTGTTCAGTGCAACCATGCTATTACCTATACGTATATATAGATCTGAAGGATGCCTATTATTCAGTGCCAATAGCGGCAGAGCAGAAAAGGTATGGGAGAGACATCAATATAAATTTGTTTACTTCCTAAATGGCCTGGAAACTTGTCTTAGGAAATTTCCAAAGCTGTTAAAGGAAGTTAATTCCCACTTACGGCGGCTGCGACATATATCGGTCAGCCATATAGATGACTCTTATTTACAAGGTGAAGATTATGATTACTGTGCCAACAATGTTTTAGGTACAACTAGGCTGCTTTATGCTCTGGAGTTCACTATACATCTTAATTGATAAATCATAATTTATAGCAAAACAAGTAACAACCATCCTTGGTTTTAAGATGAACTCAATTGTAATGAAGGTCTTACCAACTGCAGAAAAGATAAAAAAAATAAAGACATTATGCTTAGACTAGAGCTCCTACACAGTCCATCACCCAGTATTCTCCAAGTTGCATCAGTGTTAGGATTATTCATTTCGAATTTTTCTGCTGCCCAATTTGGTCCTTTGCAGTTCAAAGGTCTGAATATTGATAAAACTGAGGCAATCAACAAAATGAAGGAAATTTTGATAGACCCTAGACCTATGAAGTCGTCCAAAGCATCATGTGCCGATTTAAGACACTTGACGTTCCAAGTCAGTGTAACAAGGAATTTGGGGACATCATTCGTGGACCGGCCGGGAATGGAGGTACACTAAAAGCCGAAATTTCTAAAACACGGAATACTAAAAGCCATAATCATTAAAACCTGTAACACAAAAACCGAAATCTCGAAAACACGGAATACTAAAAGCTGAAATCCCTAAAAACACGGGGCAGTATGCCCCCACACAAGTGGACTTCGGCCATCTATCCCCGTCTAATAAGTGATGATAAATTATTGTTAAATCTTTTTTTTGCGTTTTTTTTTCCTTTTCTTATTTCAAATACAAGTATAGTTAGCATAAATTTTAGAGCAAATTTGGATGCTCAGAATGCAGGAAATTGCATTTCCGGGCATCAAATTTCAAAACTTTTCTGGGAGAGTATGCCCGCAGACCCCCATAGGGTTCATGCGTGGTATGTCGGCCACACGGCTATCCCTTTTCAAAAAATACCCCCCCCCCCCACCCTCTCGAACAAATTGTATATGTGTACTATGTAAGCAAAGCGTTCGGGCCAACTATTACTGTGCCTCCCCTCCAAACAAGATTAGGTCCGTACGCCCATGAATGAAACCGAATGAAACCAGGAATGAAACCAGGAATGAAACCAGGAATGAATGACCAATATATACATGTAATTCAGAAATAAATATCTACATACTTTCAGTATAGGCCGCATGAATAATGAGAATATATTTGCGGGTATAATCGGTATAGGAATTGTTGTGTAAGCACATTTTACAAGCTTTAGCCGCATGTTATTTACGAAGGCGTTGGCCACATATTAATCACGATGGCTAATTAATTATTTAACACTTATACCAGCGCCAAAACCTCTCTCCAAAACGATATTAAATCATATTGAATTGACGAGCACAGGATCGAACTTTAATTCCTAAATACAAACAGATCATCAGTTTCAGCTTATAGTGTGGTAAAATTAATGCAACTAAGAACCTCAATAACACAATATGTTCCTAAAAGAAATGTTCATCAACAGGAAGCGTAATATCGTCTACCTTATTGCAAAACCTCAAAATCATCCCGCCTCATATCTCGACCGGGCAAAGCGGAATATATTATGTAAACAGCTCCTAAACCCGGGATGTACATATAAATCGTCCCGGCAAACGTCCCGTCCTGCCTCTCATATAAACAGCCTCTAACTTGCCCTGAATTGCGATGGGACCGATCAAACGATACGCAAGTTATCGCAACAATTTGCAATATTTGGCCCGTGTGCGGCTAACTTTGTAATTTTGCGAAGTTGCAAAAATGTAATAAAACATGGCCGTCATTTAACCCATTTAATTAAAACGAATGTAAAAACGTTTGAAAATGCCACATAAAATGAAGCGAAAAGGCGGCAAAAACTGCCATATCATTGTACTATTTTCTCTACTTGATGAACACGAAATGTCTCAGGCTTGGAATCAACCTTGCGAAGACCAGAAAAAGGTCGTTTTTATAACATTGTGAGAGAGCAGCGAACTCGAGACAATGGCCATTCCTTTGATTTCCATGGAAACTGGGGTAAAAAGCTTCCTTGAACCTGCACTTCTTGATCAAACGTATCCAAAGTGCATGCTCGCAAGTTTAAAAAAGCTTGCGATAAAGTTTGAACCCTGAGTTCCAATCATTCGCAAGTCATCGCAAATTTTTGTATTTTGTATTTGTATTTGTATTTGCACATTCTTTACCGACTGCCGAGGTGGTCTCAGTCACCAAAAGTGATTTTCATGAGAGCCCTCTAATTAAGCTATACAACATAAATACTTACACTTAATTATATACAATAAAGTCTAAAGTCTAAAAAATTTCTAAAGTCTATCAATATAAGTTGTTCAATATTACAGATAACGCAAGTTAGTGTTTTATACACGTCGAATTTTGGTCGTCGAATGCAATTCAAACAATAGATAATGAAGCTTGATTAGGTTTATCATCTCATTATCTATTGTCTTAATTGCATTCAACACGACCAAAATTAGACGTATAAAACGGGCCTGAAACACTTTGCTACCCAATTCACAACTTGAGATAACTCATAATTGTATCATAATATATATATATATATATATATATATATATATATATATATATATATATATATATATATATATATATATATATATATATATATATATATATATATATATATATATATATATATATATATATATATATATCGCCAGATCTGAAACATTAAGTTAAGTAAGAGTTAGATACCGAAAACGGAGGCTCTTAGTCAGATACAAACCCGAGGGGCCGTAGGCCCCGAGGGATTTATCTGACTAAGAGCCGACGTTTGAGGTATCTAACTAACTTAGTTCATATTTGTAAGGATTGACCCACAATGAAATTTACTTTATGATATGTATTGTTCTTTAAATGAGTTTGAATTACCATGGTTGTAATAAAAACAAACAGGGCTATTTTGATATGCATCAATTCTCGTGTCGCACTACTGTATACTATCAATGAGAAGTGATTAAATATTCGTTCACCAACCACAATTACGATGAAATATGTTTGAAATAGCTCATACAACCGAGAAGAGCTAACGAAGATTTGTACGGGTTTGTCGAAGCAGAGATTCTCAAGTTGTTCTCAACAGGGTTTTATTTGCAGGATAAAAACCAAATGGGAGGTCTTTCATTGAAATTCAAGACCGAGGCGTGCAGCACCGAGGCTTGAATTTCAATGAAAGACCGACCATTTTCTATTGTCCTTGGGAGGTTGTGGGACGAAATAAGGTTGAACATGCGCATTAAACACGCTTTAATGTGGTTGAGCATGCGTAGTATATCATTTCGCGTCCCACAAGCGAAAGAGCAGATATTACTGTATAAATTCCTTGCACAAGCAAGTTTGATGGTCGGTTCAGCTAGTCCTCGTGCACCGAATGATAAATATTCTACCCAAAGGTAGAGTTTGACGGGCTTTGAGGTACACGGCTGTTGTCTCTTTCTCGACTCAGAGACGTGCAGCGTTTTCTAGTCGAAAAGGAGATGTGGGGTTTGAGTTTGGTTAAAAATTCAAGGTATCTAACTCCATATAGTGACCTCCAAAAGGGGTCACTATGGAGTTAGATACCTTGCATTTTTAATTAGGCATTCAATTCTATTCATCAACCCCGCTTTTCCCTGTGGAGATATCAAATCCCTCCCCTTGCTTTTAGATTCTTACCCAAATAAAACCCTATTGAGAACAATAGATATCCGCACAAATATGAACTAAATA